GAAAGTTTACAGGGCAGATCATCAGTTTTACATTCAACAAATCATATACTTTGTTTCATTAAAATGATTATAATCCCCTCCATGAACCATCAGTTAACAGTATTTCTCTCTATTCATTTTAGCTCTTTCAAAAAACAAAACACTCAGGGATATATAATAGTTTACACCACCAAAGGGTACATTCTGCAAGTCTGCCTCCTGGCTGCCAGCTCTCAGTCCCTCTCTTTCCACGAATTTAGAGTCCTCAGCTGCTTCCTCTTTCCATGTCCCCATCTCTGCCTCCATCTCTGGCACTGCTGCTTCTCTGGATAAGGTCCCGCATGTTGCTTGTGTTCTTTCTCCCTTGATGGTCCTAGGGTCCTCTGTTTCTGGACTGTAGGATTAACTACTGCCCCATTTTTATTACAAAACTTCTACCCTTACAACTGTGACAGACGCAGTTAGTTATGATAACAATTACTCACTACTGAATCATACGAATCTTACCCCCATCTCTTTTTACCAGACCCATCTAGACAAGATGAAAACTATTCAGTGGAGACTTTATCCACATACTCTTAAACTAAACTCCGTCTTGAAACTTTGTAAGCCAGTCACTTCGAGCCTTTATCACCCCTCATTTTAGGTAGCCAATGTCTAAGTTGCCGGTCCCTATCTACCCTGTATATAGAGGGGATAGCATTGACACGTCATGTGAAGACTCTTTCCCTCTCTGTTGGTATTTTGAGCTATCTCCAGGAGTATAGGTCAAGTTCATCAAATTGTAGCAATTTATCCTCATTTCCTTTATCAAAAATTGTTTTCTTTTTTATCTTCCTCTAGTCAAGTTCTGATTATGAAGCCATCAAGGTTAGGTCAAATGGGTACTGTCTGCAAGTTTGGGTGTTCTTGTCCATCTTCCCTCACTTCTTATCAGCTGAATGCTTCACTCTCAGCTCTAGCCCTCTATGGCTATGTCCTTGTCCATGGGCTCAGGTGTTCCCAGGTTTTATCACACTTAGACCAACCAGCTCTTCCTCTTCTCTCTCTCATCTCCAGGTCAATGGGAGTCTATGGAATGTAGTTGAACTCAGCCAATTTCTTCATTGCTGCCTTTCCCCCTCTTCCACTCACCAGTAGACCAAGGTGATCCCCAGCAAGCTTACATGCCTGCTCATGTATTCCCTTTGAGTTTCAGTCTTAGAGGGGGCTTTGTTTTATTTTATTTTTTTTAACTCATGAATGTTATAAAAGAAATCTGAATGAATAGTTTAACAAGGAATGTTTCTAGGTAGAAACAGTAAACATTATAAAGTTCTCAATTCTCAAATTAACTTATAATTTTGGTTGGCAAATGGAAGCACTGGTGGGAAACCAGAAACCAGGAAGAAAGAATCAGGGTGTTGCTTCTCCCAACTTCCTGCCCATCTAGTCACCATGGATGGGCTGCATCTCTCTCCTAAAGACCACAGCTCTTGTCTCCATCCTGCTCGGCCTCCTTCTGAAGTTCTGAGGTCCGGGTCATTATTCCCTTCCCTTGGTGCTCCCTTGAGTTGAATGGTAAGTTCTTAGTAAAGTGAAATCAAAGTAGTACCAGCCCAAGGAGGCTACGGGCAGCAGAAAGAGTGGGAGATTCATGATGAAGGAACACATCTCCTTTCCCAGGTTGGCCAAAGACTGGACTGAAGCATCAACCACACAGAAATCTAACAACACACTTGCAATATGAATGCTAGAGTCTGGATCTCCATATCAATGATTTAATAGATTACACACTCAAAGAAAAAAACATGTGAGCTGAGGATGGGAAATCACAAGACTTCTGACATATTGTACTTCACATATCTTGAAGTATCCTGAATCTAATTCTCCATCTCTGAGGTCATTAGAGAGTGGTATTTCTGTATTGCCCTCAGACAAGAAAGTCAATGGAAATGAGATGTTGTTGTTGTTGTTAAGTGCCATGGAGTCAGTTCCAACACATAGCAACTCGGTATAGGGTTTCCAATGAGTGGCTAGTGAGTTAGAACTGCAGACAATGCGCTTCAAATCAACCTTGCAGGCCACCACTTTCACTCACAGTGCTACGCCAGGACTCCTTTGTTGACAATACAGAAAAATCACCTGAACTTTGATCCACTTATGTGCATCCAAAAATAGAAAATGAATTATTGTCATCAGGTAGATTGATCTTAATACCAACACATTGATAAGAAAGACAGCCAACAAGATAGAAGCCCAGGCAAGAGAGTTTCATCAGTGACACATAATTGTCACTGACACACTCAGACAAATGAAATTAAGATATATCCATCCTCTGATTCTCCATTGTTTTTTACCTTCTCCTTTGTTTTTTAACCGTGAACCTTTCCCTTAAAAAGTGAGCAAATCTTGAGTCTCATTCCATTAAAGTAGACTCTAGTAAAGTTTCTGGGAAGATTTCCAGAGAGTTAGATTGCTTTAAAATTGGCCATGCATTAAATAAAGCTTTGTCTAACAAAGGTGAAAGAAGAATAAGTGATAGGGTATCTGTACATTCACTCTGCACAAAGTTTTTTTCGCTCAAAAGCATTACTCAAAGACAAACAAAAAATCAGATTACAGTTCTGGAAAATCATACTCTGCCTCTTTCAGCAACACTGCCAGCTCACATCTACATTATGGGCCAACCATCTGCTTCCTAAGGAATTTGTAATCTACCCTGTCCATTAGTTCCCCAAAGGTTCTCCTACTTTATGCATAGGCCCTTCCTTCATTCATTCCACGGCATTCACTTTTCATCTCTAAGAGATTTGTTAACGATAAATGTGTAAGATTCCCTTTAACAGCAAAACTAAAATGAAAAGCCTTCAGCACTACATTTTATAATGAAACAGAAGCCAAATCTAAGACTCTACAGAAGTAGAATTAAAAGCTATTATAGCAAGAAATTCATTCTGGGTACCTGGCTTCCTTTCACTTTACCTGCTTCAGTGTACTTCAATCCCACTTTTTCTTCTGTGTCTTTTGTCTTTGGCGGTGGCCAGACAGCTTGGAGTCGGCCAGGAGTCCTGTCGTCCTGTTCAGTGGGGCTCTGGTCTAGCTGTTGAAAAAAAATAGGCACACAGACAAGAATAAGTTCAATGAAATGTGGCCAGAGCCAATTAATTACTGAAAATAAACATGCTAACTCTAAATCTAAAATTTACATTAATGACCAGTTGCACATTACTGTTTCATTGTAACTGAGACAAAGTCTCAAGACAGTATAATCCCTTTCTAGAAACATAAAGTTATCAGGAGTGAAAACCAGAAACAACTCAAGGCTAAGTATTAGACAACACTAGATAAGTGATTTTTATCACATAACTATAAGAATCAATAATTCACTTTGATATTAAAATACCGATACAAAAGTACCATACTTGGATATATTTGTAAGAATGTTTACAAACATATTCCTACCATAAAAAGACGAATTTGTATTTTCTGTAAACATCAGTTATAAACCAAGACATACTTCTCCAAATACTCAAGTAATCCATACTTGTAATCTCAGGATTTTGTTTTTCCTATGAAATACGAATGAGATAACTTTGTATTCAAGTTATCTTTTTGTGGGAGGTGATTTCTACAACTAGGATAATGTATCTATATATTGATTTTAGCTTAGATTTGTTTTTAGCTGTTGTGCGTGTGTGTGCATGTTGTTTGTTTTTTAACTAAAGCCCAAGATAATTTTTTCAAAGAATTTTCGCTTTTTACTGTTTTAACTGAGTGTGTTAACTTAAATATGCAAAAAGGAGTAACACTCTCACGTTGAATTGACATTAAACAAAAAATTCTATCCATTGCTCTTTGAACATTACGACTTAGTGAACAGGTGTTTGTTAGTCTTTATAAATTACCAGAGTTCTCTGAATAATGTTTGTGAATAATATTTACAACAGCACCCATTAAGCAGGTGCTTACCATGTGCTAACTTCATTTAATCCTCACAACCACCATACAAGGTAAATGTTTTTGTTTTCTCCTTATTTTGCAGATGAGGAGATCGATGGAGACTTAGAGATGGTGGAAGTCACTCAGCCAATAAATGGCAGTCTTTTTTGTTAAGTACTGTCAAGGAGCAGGTGGTGGGTTTGAACTGCCGACCCTGTGATGCACAGCCCAGTGCTTATTCTACGAAGCCACAACAGGAATCCAGTAAATGGTGGAGTTAGGATTAAAACCCAGGTATCATTCTAAATCCAAGGCTCAATCAGAATGCTTTTCAACCAACAGGTAACACTTCAATTACATCATAAACACGTATTTTGCCAAATGGCAAACTTTCAAAGGAGAAATAAAGGTTTCAAAGAGATGTAATTAAGTGGTGAGGAAATCCCTGTAAAGCTGGGTTCTACTTCTATATTACATTGCTTCCTCAAGCTGATTAGTTTTTATAGGAACATTTACATGAATGCTTAAACCCAGAATGCTTAAACCCTTTCCCACCTGTACTTCTTTACATTCAACCAAAAAAAAAAAAAAAAGAAAATTAAACAACAACAACAAAAAAAAACCCCAAACTTCTTTCTGTGCAACTCCACACTCCTTACAAGGTGGATTTAAATTCAACATAATCATCTTTCACCTTAAAAAAGGTTGCAAGGAATAGATAACTAGAATTTACTGTCACAGATAACCTGAGAAAAAAATATGAGGGTGCTTTAAAAGATTCATGGAAAAATGGAACGAAAAGATACTGTAATTTTCCACAAACTTTTTGAAACCATTTGTATGGCTGCATCCTATTTTATGAGAAAATGTAAAACACAATTCTACATACGCTTTTGGGATCAGAGGGCCCCTCCACCGGCCTTGACTTGGACCTTTCAAACACAGCTCTCAGCGACTCCTTCTCATGTCTCATCCTGCGCTTCAGAGCTTCCAGCTCGGAGGTATCAGCGGTGGTACCCTTCCTGGGGGGACGGATGAATAAGGCTTTAAAAGCCTCTAAGGCAGTCTCTGGAGGCTTTGGTTTAACCTCTCCACCCTGGATTTGGGGCTCCCCAGGGCCACTTTGGCTCTCCTGGTCAGCGCTGCAGCCCATCTCTTCTCCCCTGGATGACTCAGGGTCTTCTGCCTTCAGTTCAGTTTTCGGCATGTCAATGTTGAGCAGTTGAGAGAGCTGCTCAAGGAGAGTGGGAGGGGACTTCAGATGAGTTGTTTTCTCCCCATTCTTCACTGTCTGTGGTCCTACCTGTGATAGGGATTTCTGAACAGGCTGGGTCAATTTGAGGAAAGCCAGGTCCCCATCCTTTGGTTTAATTTCCGTGATGGTCTCCCCTCTTTCAGCTGTAATCCCTTTCTTCAGCACACGAAATCCACTAAAGAAAGCTGGAAGCTGGAATGTCTTCTCCCCAAGGCCTTCTTTTTTTGAAAAGGTACTCTCAGGGACTCCAAAACTCAGGTTTGCTACTGTAGGTGGTTCTGGGGAACCTTCTTCTCCAGCCTCTCCAGTGTTAGGGCTGTGCTCTGTCTGAAGGCCGCCATCACTAGATTCCAACTTGCCACTTAGCTCAGGTAGAGTCCTTTGGGGACCTTCTGCATAGAGCTCCGTATTGTCTGGTTCCCCAGTGGCCTTCTGTTCCCTAGAATCCCCTGGTATTTCTTTGGGCTCTTGGGGAGGCTCAGATAAAACACTAGGGGACTTGAAGCCATGAGTGTTACTTCCCTCTTCTGGTCCCTGGCCATCAACATCAGAGTCAGAATCACTGGTGGTGTGGATAAGGGTCCCACGAACCAAAAAATCATCGTCGTTGTTGAGATTCAAAGTAGGCAATGGAAGCTCTGGGCATTGGAGAGAAGTCCCTGCTGAAGCTTCTCCCTCAGACTCAGTTTCCATTCTTCCAGTCTTCCCATCATTTTGGAGGTAGGGTGAAAGCTGAGCCTCTGTCTCCTGCTGACTGGTGCCCTCGATGGGGTCATCCTGCTGAGGTGTGGGATCCACATCTAAACTGCGATATGCTTTCAGCACAGCATCTTTCTCTTCAGGCTTCACCGATTCCAACTGACTCGTAAATCCAAATAAGGATTTCATAGAGAATTTACTCAGGATCGACTGAGCTATTTCAAGACCAGCTTCAGGTTTTTCTGGTTCTGAGACATCACTGCCATTCACAGAATTACCAACGTCCTCCATGGCTCAGCAATGCCCTTGATGAAGTTTGGACTTTCGTTATCTTCTCTGCTTCCTCAGTTTATCCTCTCCATCTGCATGCTTACAGGACAGAGAGCAACAGGAGCCTAGAGCCAGATTCCTCAGCCGCACAGGGAGCTCACTTGGTGGCTCTTAGGTCACTGTGCCCTTCTTCCGGTTTGAGCAATGTTATGGTATGCCCAGGGCAACTGGAAAACGTCTGAGGAGCTTTACTGCCAGCAGCAGCGGAGGCTGCGCACCTTACTACACACAGACCGAGAGGCTACTCTTTGGGGACTTCCTTATTTATTCCCGGGGACAAAAGGCTTTTTGTCATCAGGAAAGTCAGCCTGCCCCTGGTAATCCCAGCCGAGAGAACTTCACCAAGAGCTCCGCCCCAGTGCCTGTGGTTCTCCTGGTTGCTTTCAACTTCCTCCTTGGCCAGTATAAATTGAGGCTTCTTAAAGTGCTGAGCTGGCAAGCTGATCCTAACATTCCTGACCCTTCCCCCTCTAGTCCTAGAGATTCAAAAGTGATTCAGCTGAAAATTGCTGAGACACATTGACACATTTTAGGGGCCCTCTTTCTTCTTCAACTGCATTACGTATGTTTTGACCTTGGAGGCCAAAAAAAACCTAGCAGCACACCCAGATGAGCAACCACGTAACAAAGCCCAAAGCAGACATAAAATTAAAGAAAGAGATCATGTCACAATATCCAGAACTTGCAAAGCTGTTAATTTATTGCCCTTGAACTTCTTTCTTTCTTTTTTAAGTACTTTCTTCCGCTTCCCTGCAGGTTTCATCTGGAATGCAGATTTTAGTGTCAGAGCCCAAGGAGGAAAACTAACATGAGTGGTTTCAGGTTACTGCCCTTTTAGCTCTGCCCTGGCTGTCTGTGTTTTACAAACAGGTATGCAGGCGAACATACCCACCACACCCAGTGTTAACCAGTCATCTGGGTGGCAGAGTCAATAGACCAAGTAGGGCAGGATTGATTACCTTCCATAGTCCCTTTGCCAACATCAGGCATCTGCTTAGCAGCTGAGATTTCCTGGCTTTCTTAGGAATCCTGGCAGCAGAAGGGCACCCCTCTTCACCTCAGTATTCCAACCAAATAAATGAAACCTGGCATGACACAAGCTAACACACAACCTGTGCCTTGTTAGGCAGAGCAATTCATCAAAACTCCCCAAGGATCTACGTTCCCCGACAAGGGCAAGCCATCTGAAAGCACTCTGTCAGTTGGGTTTCTATCATAGACCCAATTTACCTAAAACAAAAACAGAACAGACAAAACCACTGCCAAACATCACCTCCCTTATAGTTTCCACTACTCTGATTAATGCTAGGAACCTGGCAACTGAGGAGGTGGAAAAATTGCAGCTCTGTTTCCTAGCTGCCTAGCTGTCTCTTGGGATGGTTTCCTGTCCTACCTGAAAGTCTCAGTGTTTTTCAGATCCAGTTCAGTTGTTGTCAGGCATTCACTGAGCACCTGGGATGGGCAAGGCACTGTCCTGAGTTGGGAGGAGAATCAAACTTGCTTAAAAGTAGTCGTCAGCTCTCTTTGCGCAAAGTGTCAGGAAGATTATAGCAAGTGTTAAACTTAAACAACATTTTATACTGAAAAATACAAGTTGGAACCTCAAGTTAAAAGTCTTTGTTTATTTGCAGCAATGAAAGGCTGTGGGTCATACATTGATGATCAACATTAAAAATGATGAGGTATTAATTGTGATACACTCTGATCTAATACATGTCTTGGAATGGGTTCAAAAGTAGTCCTCACACAAATAAACAGGCTACATGTTATTTTACCATATCATCCTCCATGGGAAAGTTAGCATAGTCCCTGATTTGACCTTGTGTCTAAATGGACACTATCTCATTTGCTCCTTATGCTAGCATATTTTTGAATTA